CCACCCACCCTGTCGGCTTTTCAGTCATCGATTTCATCTGATCTGAATGAAATGATTGAACTTATACTGAACAGAACTAAAATTAGTCGTTAGAATTAGAAGAGGCGTGGGTGGGTGGGGCTTATGTTTGATAAGATAAGACTGATTTTGGCAAATGATATATCCTTAAAGAAAACAGAGGGTGGGTGGGCGGGGCTAGTATTGATAAGATAAGACTCATTTTGGCACTTTTGACATTTTCCACCATTTTTCAATATTTCCGAAAATTAGTTCCATATTTTTTTATAGATTTCGATATCCAAAAGTCACTTTCGGCTTCATTTTTTCGAAAATTTCTACTTTTTTTCGGAAAATGCCAATTTAAATACATACAGCTATTTTGAAGATTAGCACTTTTTTTATTTTTTTTTCACATCCTAGATCTATTATTAGATTCCACTCCCACTTGACAGAAGAAAATAATTAGCCCCCCCCACCCACCCTGTCGCCTTTTCAGTGATTAATTTCATCTGATATGAATGAAATGAATGATCTTATACTGAACAAAATAAAAGTTGTCGTTATAATGAAACGAGGGGTGGGTGGGTGGGGCTTATGTTTGCTAAGATAAGACTGATTTTGGCAAATGACATATCCTCTAAGAAAATAATGGGTGGGTGGGCGGGGCTAGTATTGATAAGATAAGACTGATTTTGGCACTTTTGATATTTTCTACCGTTTTTCGATTATTTCCACATTTTCTTGTATATTTCGATATCCAAAAATCACTTTCGGCTTTGTTTCTTCGAAAATTCCTACCGTTTTTCGGAAATCGCCAATGAAAATACAGCTGTTTTAAAGATTAGCACACTTTTTAACTTTTTGCACATCCTAGATACTATAATAATTTCCACTTCCACTAGACAGAAGAAAATAATTAGCCCCGCCCACCCATCCAGTCTCCTTTTCAGTGATCGGTTTCATCTGATATGAATGAAATGAATGATCTTATACTGAACAGAAATAAAATTAGTCGTTATCATAGAAATAATATTATATGGAAGTAACTTAGAGAGAGACGAGCGTTGTCAACACAGTGGGACAGAGATAGGGCTCTCTGGGTGGCAAAACATTGACGCGAAACTGCAGAGCACTGTGTTACTGGAGGTTTCTTTCGTGCTGTCGCATGGTGTTTGAAGGTGTATTTTTGCAAATTTACGTTTTATAGGCTCAAGTTATCTTATTTAAATGTCTACAGTCTTCTTAAGTTGTATTTTATCGGACTATTTGTTAAACATCGTGAAATCTCGTGTTGTGCGTATAATTGCATAGAACGTACAAAGAAAGCAATCCTGTTTCATTTCATGGTAATAATCACATATAGAGACGAAGGATTTCGTAAATAATTTAAAAATTTTGTTAGTTTCCCTAAACATTCCGGGTTACGAAAAAAAAACGGATTATTGCTACAAAAAGAGGGAATTTTATATCTATTGATTATTGTTTTAGCTATTTGTACGTGGATTTAGATTTTACTAGAAAATTCCATACAAATTAATATGTGTAATTTAATTAGGCACTCTGTCACTTTTATCGAAAGTTTAATTACTTTTATCCTAAAAAATTCAGAATTACCAATGAACATACACTACAAGATTAGTTAACTTGTAGAAGATTATTGGACTAACTGAATTCGTAATATATTGTAGATTCTGTATACATTTCATTTTATTAAAAGATTATCTCCACCACTTAACATGATTTTTGTGGTTTCACATTACACATAATTTTAATGTAAACTGTAAAAATATAGTTTTTATTAACAGACGTTTGTTATAATTGATTGTTTGAACAAACTCGTAAGAAAATGTATTAATTCCCGTTCAAATGAAGCGTTTCTTGCCACCCAGCACGTGATACATGGTCAGCCGTCCTTTGCCCACTGATGCATAACCGCTCTAGCTATTTCTTTCTTATGTTGATTACACTCACTCGCGTATGGAAACGTATACAAGGCTCCATCCACTCCTTTATTAGATCAATGGTCGTTATAAAGAGAAGAGGGGGGTGGGCGGGGCTAGTGCTTGCTAAGATAAGACTGATTTTGGCAAATCACATATCCTCTAAGAAAATAATGGGTGGGTGGGCGGCGCTCGCATTGATAAGATAAGACTGATTTTGACACTTTCCAACATTTTCCAATTATTTCCGAAAATTATTTGCACATTTTCTTGCAGATTTAGATATTCAAAAGTTACTTTCGGCTTCATTTTTTCGAAAATTTCTACTTTTTTTCGGAAATCGCCAATTGAAATACAGCTATTTTGAAGATTAGCACTTTTTTTATTTTTTTCACATCCTAGATCTATTATTCGATTCCACTCCCACTTGACAGAAGAAAATAATTAGTCCCACCCACCCACCCTGTCGCCTTTCCAGTGATTAATTTCATCTGATATGAATGAAATGAATGATCTTATACTAAACAAAATAAAACTTGTCGTTAGAATGAAACGAGGGGTGGGTGGGTGGGGCTAATGTTTGCTAAGAAAAGACTGATTTTGGCAAATGACATATCCTCTAAGAAAATAATGGGTGGGTGGGCGGGGCTCGTATTGATAAGATAAGACTGATTTTGGCACTTTTGACATTTTACAACATTTTCCAATTATTTCCGAAAATTAGTTGCACATTTTCTTGTAGATTTAGATATTCAAAATCACTTTCGGCTTCATTTTTTCGAAAATTTCTATTTTTTTTCGGAAACCACCAATTGAAATACAGCTATTTTAAAGATTAGCGCTTTTTTTATTTTTTTCACATCCTAGATCTACTATTAGATTCCATTCCCACTTAACAGAAAAAAATAATTAGCCCCGCCCACCCACCCTGTCGCCTTTTCAGTGATTAATTTCATCTGATATGAATGAAATGAATGATCTTATACTGAACAAAATAAAATTTGTCGTTAGAATGAAACGAGGGGTGGGTGGGTGGGGCTAGTGTTACCTAAGATAAGACTGATTTTGGCAAATGACATATCCCCTAAGAAAATAATGGGTGCTTGGGCGGGGCTAGTATTGATAAGATGAGACTGATTATGGCACTTTTGACATTTTCCACCATTTTCCAATTGTCTCCGAAAATTAGTTGAAGCCATTTTCTTACAGATTTCGATATCCAAAAGTCACTTTCGGCTTCGTTTCTTCGAAAATCTACCGTTTTTCGAAAATCGCCAATTGAAATACAGCTATTTTCAATATTAGCGCCTTTTTCAAATTTTTTCACATCCTAGATTCAACTATTATTTTTCACTCCCAATCGACAGAAGAAAATTCTTAGCCCCACCCACCCACCCTGTCTCCTTTTCAGTGATTAAATTCATCTGATCTGAATTAAATGAATGATATTATACTGAACAAAAATAAAATTATTCGTTAGAACTAGAAGAGGGGTGGGTGGGTGGGGCTAATGTTTGCTAAGATAAGACTGATTTTGGCAAATGACATATCCTCTAAGAAAATAATGGGTGGGTGGGCGGGGCTAGTATTGATAAGATAAGACTGATTTTGGCACTTTTGACATTTTCCACCATTTTCCAATTGTCTCCGAAAATTAGTTGAAGCCATTTTCTTATAGATTTCGATATCCAAAAGTCACTTTCGGCTTCGTTTCTTCGAAAATCTACCGTTTTTCGAAAATCGCCAATTGAAATACAGCTATTTTCAATATTAGCACCTTTTTCAAATTTTTTCACATCCTAGATTCAACTATTATTTTCCACTCCCAATCGACAGAAGAAAATTCTTAGCCCCGCCCACCCACCCTGTCTCCTTTTCAGTGATTAAATTCATCTGATCTGAATGAAATGAATGATATTATACTGAACAGAAATAAAATTATTCGTTAGAATTAGAAGAGGGGTGGGTGGGTGGGGCTAGTACTTGCTAAGATAGGACTGATTTTGGCAGATAACATATCCTCTAAGAAAACAGAGGGTGGGTGGGCGGGGTTAGTATTGATAAGATAAGACTGATTTTGGCACTTTTGACATTTTCCACCATTTTTCAACTATTTCCGAAAATTAGTTGAAGACATTTTTTTGTACATTTCGATATCCAGAAGCCGTTTTCGATTTTGTTTCTTGGAAAATTCTTACTGTTTTTTCAAAATCGCTAATTGAAATATGGTACGCTTCACCACACATATTTTTTTCATCTATTTAAGCTTTTATTACTTGTTTTTTGATCTATTACTTTATACTTATCATGTTTTTAAGCGAACTGGTCAATTTTGACGTTGAAGTTTCTATTGCTTTTTTATAAAGAAAAAAGTCATGTTTAAAAAAAAAATCAACATTGTATAACAATATTTTACACTGTAAGTTTGAAATTGCAAAAACCGAACACTGTGAAAGAGTGTAAGTATTTGACCATTACATAATTACACCAATTATTACACTTTAATCGAATTTTACACGAGTCATTATTGTGAAATTTGAAAGGAAGTAAATACTCAAAAGCTTGTGGCTTCGAACTTGATCTACATTTTTTATATTCGTTGATTTTAAAACACGGTTGTTTTTAATAAATCTTTTTTTTTAACATGACATGATTGAATTTTTTTAAATGACCTGACAACTTTGCAAACAGTGACAGTTCGGGTCATTGTAGTTGTTTTATAAACTCGACTTGGTCATCCATATCTGGCTAATAGCCTGCATTCTTTTGTTCCGGAACTAGCGCATTCAGATGGCAGCAGTGACAACGCTAGCGATTTTAATAACATTTTCTTACACGTTTTATTCTTAAGTCACATCACATATTAATTTTTTGTACAAGATGTGAAATAAAGCGTTTTTTTTTTCACATTTTTCTACAAACACGCAACATCTTGCTCCTTCCGAAATTAAAATTACTCCGTGACTAAGACCCGCATGACGACACTCCGTACTCACACATTAGCACATTCTACAACTCCCTGACTCACCCACCACCCGAAACCCTCACATTCTCACATACCGTGTAGGCATCTCCGAATTTCCCCACATTAGTCCTTTCCAGCGGCTGGTGATTCGACGGATGATTCCCCATTTTCCCTAACCCAACAACAAACACCACCACGACACCAACAGTACCTCCGACACTCCGCCACTGACGAAATCCACCCGTACAAAGAGCAGATGCGGTCCGTCACACAGATGCTTGGGGTACGCGCTAGACCAGTCCGTTAGCGCACATAAAAATCGTCATTGTAGAACAGGAAGAGCCTGGCCGGTTACAGAACCTGAAGAATGCAGTTGCACCGAACGCAGAGACACGAAGATTTTCTTCGTCGAAGACTCCTCAACTCAGACACCGGGCGGCCTTGAACACGTGCTCCACGACTCAGTCCCAAAAAGAAATCGACACTTTCGGGGAAAAAACGACGCCGAAAACACAAAAATCGCGGTGATTTCGATGCGAGGTTGCGCGGTTAACGGTAATGTTTTTTTTTAGGGAAAAACGGATAGGGTTTTGGGAAACGCGAAATGACGGTTATTGCGCGGCCGGACGCGGTACGACTGTGCGAAGACTCGGTTTATACATGCAATGACGGTTGAAATCATGGATGGTATCCCCACATTCTTCTACTACCCGTTCCGCGAATGTCGGGACAGGTAAACGTACTGTATAAGTCGAGCCGGCACGATTTCGACCAGTTTGACAATGGTACGGCGCGGAATCGGCGGCTAACCCTCGATTCGGTTGTAAGTAGCGCTTGATTAACGATGATTTTGTTTTGGCTAAATTTAGACTGGGTAAACATCATTATCTGTCGAATCTTGCGGGGATAAAATTACGCGTTGTAATAAAAATTGAGTATTTTCGCGTGTTTGCCAAAGCGATTTTTCTTAGCGGTTTGTTTACGAAGAGGTGTAAACATCGGAAATTAAATTGGCAGGATGTAATTTAGCATTCGGGGACTTTACAACCTTCTTAATTTAAATGTCGTGTTTGGTTCATCCTTTCGATTTTATAACGGCGCGAGAGAAGCGAAAATAAACGGAGCGTTTAATGAAAAGAGTAATTGGATTAATTAAAATTTACTTTTTCGAATCGATGTGAATCATGATTAAATTAAATGGGTTTATTGTGTATGGGAGGTTTAAGTGCGGAAAAGTTTTGTCAGGCGGTTGGGTTTTATTGGGGATGATTTGGCTACATGAGGGTTGGAAAGGGTTTTCATTAATTATTATTGTTAGGGAAGCAAGGTTACAATTAAATATGAATGGTGGTCATTATGACGTTCAACCGGACTTGAAAACTCTTGGGAAAGTCGGGTTCTCGGGAAAAATATGACTCAAAATTATTAGTCGATCAATTCTTCAAAAGCCTGACGAACACAACGGTTTTCCTTGAACAGAGAAATTTTTCAACATATAAAAAAATGTAAAACAAAATTCAGATTTTCAATTTTCCAAATTTTGAATTTCGAGACTTAAAATTTCTCGAGTTTTCAATTTTTCGTTTCAGTTTTATAATTCCTTTATTTTTACAAGTTTTTGATTTTTCAATTTTCCAATTTTACAAATTTGCGGTTCTTCAATTTTAGGACATGTAACTCTCGATTTTCCAACTTTTGGATGTTTCATTTTTTAGATTTTGCAGTTTTTCGTTTGAATTTTTTATTTTCTTTATTTTTTCAATTTTTCGGTATTCTGTTGCTCTGATTTTATATATTTTCTTGAAAGTGAAATTGTTCAATTTATGGATTTTTCGAATTTATCGATTTGTAATTTTTCGTTTTTGAACTTTGACATTTTTTAATTTTTCGTTTTTTCAGTTTCTCGATTTTTAAATTTTTCATTTTATTTCTAGTTTAAACATGTAATAATATGTAATTATATTTTTAAAATTTTTTCATTTTTTCAATTTTACGATTTTAGAATTTTTCCATTTTTCAGTTATTGGATCTACTCGATTTTTTAATTTTTCCATCTTTCCAGTTTTTCGATTTTATCGATAATTAATTTTTCGGTCCTTGGATATTAACAGTTCTTTGACTTCACAATTTTCGATTTCACGATTCTTGAGTTTTCCAATTTTTCGACTCATTAATTTTTTTCGATTTTAAAGTTTCTAGATTTTTATTTCTTCACTTTTTCGATTTGTGATTTTTCAGTTCTTCATTTTTTGTTTCTTCAATTTCTAGATTCTGCAATTTTTCGACTTAAAATTTCTCGAGTTCTCAATTTTTAATTTTTCAACTTTTCGTTTGGGTTTTTTATTTCCTTTGTTTTAACAAGTTTTTGACTTTTCAATGTTCCAATTTTAGTTTTAGATTTGCAATTTTTCGAATTACAATTTCAGGAGTTCTCGATTTTTCAAGAAGTTTTAAAATTTCAATTTGCAGTTTTTCGTTCCGGTTTTTTATTTCCTTTATTTTTTCAATTTTCCGGTTTTCCATTGTCCTGATTTTATTTATTTTTTTTTCAATATGAAATTGTTCAATTTATGGATTTTCCAATTTTTCGATTTTTCAATTTTACAATTATTGGAATCTAAAATTTTTCAGCTATACGATTTTTTAAATTTTTGTTTTAGTTTTGTGATATTAAAATTTTCAATTTCTCGTTATTTAATTTTTCAATTTTTCGATGTTACAGGTTTTCGATTCAAAATTTTGACGATTCTAAAATTCTTGATTCCACGATTTTTGAGGTTTCCAACTTTTCGATTTTTAAGTTCCTAGATTTTTAGTTTTTCAATGTTTCAATTTTTGTTTCTTCACTTGATTTGCAATTTTTCGATTTGTGATTTTCAGTTTTTCATTTTTTTTGTTTGTTTCTTCAATTTCTAAATTTTGCTTTTTTGATTTAAAATTTCTAGATTTTTGAATTTTTAAATTTTCAATTTTTCGATTCTTTTAATGTTAATTTCTTTAAATTTTTGGTCTGCAGTTTTTCGTTTGAGTTTTTGATTTCTTTATTTCTTTATGTTCCCATTTAATAATTTTTTGTTTTATCAATTTCAATTTTACAGCTTTTCCTTTCTTCCTTTTTTCGATTTGCAATTTTTCATTTTTTTTGTTCTTCAATTTTACGGTATGCAACTCTCTAGTTTTCATTTTTAAACTTTCCAGTTTTTTTTGGACGTTTCATTTTAGGATTTTGCAATTTTTCGTTTAAATTTTGATTTTCTTTATCTTTCTCAATTTTTCGGTTTTTAAGTTATTTTTATCTTTTTTCCAATGTGAAATTTTCAGTTTGGATTTTCCAACTTTTCGAGTCAGTTAAAACTGAAAGTTTGCTTAAAGTTGAAATAAGATTTTTTATTTTTCATCTTTTCAGTTTCTCGATTTTTCAATTTTTGATTTGCAATTTTTCTAGTTCTCATCTTAAATCTGTAATAATAATTATTTTTCAATTTTACGAATTTAGAATTTTTCCATTTTTCAATTATTGGATTCAAAAATTTTTCTATTTTAGTTTTTTGATTTTAAAATTTTCAATTTCTCGATATTTAATTTTTCAATTTTTTGATCCTTTAACGTTAGTTTTTCGACTTCACATTTTTGGCGATTCAATGATTTTTCGATTTTTAAATTTCTCGATTTTTGGTTTTTCGGTGTTTCAATTTTTGTTTTTTCAGTTCTTCGAATTGCAATTTTTCGATGTTTCAACGACTCAAAAAAACGAAAATGTATAAAATCAAAACATGAAAAAATCTAAAAATTGGAAATCAAGAATTTGAGAAACTGAAGAAATGAAAAATTAAAATGAAAGTAAAAAGGGCAAAATCGAAAAATCGGATAACCGGAAATCCAAAAATTGGAAAATTGAAAAATTTAATCATCTGAAAACCAAAGATTTAAATTTGAAAACCTAAATAAACGAAACCTTATAAAATTGAAAGAAACATGGAAACATTTTTCGATTTCTCAGATTTTAATTTTTCGATTTTTAGATTTTTCACTTTTTCCGTTTGCAATTTTTAATTTCGGTTTTTTGTTTTCTTTTTTATTGAATGTGAATTTTTTCAATTTTTGGATTTTTCAATTTTTCCATTTGCGATTTGTAGGTTTTTAATTTTTTCAACTTTTAAAATTTTTGGTTTTTTAAGTTTCAAATTTTTCAATTTCTCGATTTTTCAACTTTTTGTTTTTTCACTGTAGATTTGGAATCTAAAATGTTTCTAGATTTCATCTTAAGTAATATGTATGTAATAATAATCATAATTTAAGAAAAAATCACTTTTTCAGTTTTACGATTTCAGAATTTTTCGGTTTTTCAACTACTGTATTTTAAAACTTTTTCATTTATTCGATTTTTAATTTTTCAATTTTTTGAACTTGACAATTTTGACGATTTTATAATTTTCCGACTTTACAAGTTTTGGAATTTCCATTTTTTGCTCGATTTGTATTTTCTTGTAACATTTTTCATTATTTTTTTCGATTTCAAGTTTCTCAATTTTTAGTTTTTCAGTGTCCCAATTTTTCGTTTCTTCAGTTCTTCGATTTTTCAGTTTTTTAGTTTTTTTTTAACTTTTCGAATATAAAAATGTTAAAATTGCAAAAGTGTAAAACTCATATATCAGAAATGAAAATCGAAAAAATATAAAATGAAAACTTTGAAAAATCTAGAAATGCAAAATTTTAAAAATAAAAGAAACGAAACAACGAAAAATAGTGATATAAAATCGAGAAAATGAAAATTAAAAATTCGAAAAATGAAAAATTTGGAAGGCGAGAAAAAATTATAAGATTTGATTTGCGTTTTTTTTATGATACATAGGTAAAATAAAGATATGTAGGTAATATTAAAATAAATGTAAGTTTTGTGATGACGTCATCAAGATTTTTGTAAAGACACGTATATCAATAAAAATAAATTACCACATTCATTAATTTTTCTGAGTCACCCTGTATGAGTAATTCTAAAAACAAGAGTGCATTGATAAAGCACAAGCACATCGTCATAATATTTTGCATATTTGAGAGAGGATTTGTTAGATAAATTCTGAGGTGACGTCATCAATTTTTGTACCTTTATTAGAGATGGATCCCTGAGAGGGGGTGTCAAAATATATCAATATCGAAAATATCGCATCGCCTCACCCCATCTGTCAAACTGTCAACTGTCAAAGTCACTTCGAATCAAAATTCTTAACGTGTTTTAGCAACAAATAGCAAAAATTCGCAGTTTTCGTCAAAATCGACACTTCCCCACGGAAAAATGCGCCGCCAAAACCCCGACCCCAAGAACCAAGAGGAAAAAAAGAACAGCCGGGAGTGCGTTAAACAAAGTTTGATTTTATTCTTCGGCATCGTGGTCACTATTCGAGTAACCCCAATCCTCTTACATTTACTTTGTTCTTAGTGTACGTTTCACATGGAACGAATAAATTGGAGTGAATTTTTGTATCGAGTGGATAATTTTTCGCCTAATTACAATATACCGTCAATGCGGTTTCCTCGTATGGGATACAATATAGGGCGATCTTCCGACTTGGCGCTAACATGCGGATACAGAGTCCCCCTCAACGACAGGTATTGTTGTCCGTTAGACGGGGTAAAGACCGTGGGATATTCCGGCCGACTGTTCCCCA